CAGATGATTTCCTCCAAGAAATGTGCAATAATCTGTAGTAAATCTTTTATCCGACACCGAGCCTGCCCAATCCGCATCTGTATACCCAATTACCTCAAGTCTTCCTCTTGGTTTGTACAATAACCCACGGCCTGGAGCTCCCTTCAGGTACCTTACAATTCTAAGAACTGCATCCCAGTGAGGTATTCGAGGGTTTTGCATAAATTGACTCACCACATTGACTGCAAAGGAGATGTTTGATCTTGTGATAGTCAAATAGTTAATCTTCCCCACTAACCGTCTGTATCTTCCAAGATCATCAAATATTTCCCCTGTATCACTACTCAACTTAGCATTTGATTCCATGGGAGTTTCGGCCGGTTTTGCACCTAGCAATCCCGTTTCATCCAGCAGATCAAGAACATATTTTCTTTGGCACAGGTTTACACCTTGTTTTGATCTAGCAACTTCTATACCCAAGAAATACTTTAACTTCCCAAGTTCTTTTGTTTGAAAATGGTTTTGTAGAAAGACCTTTAGTTTATCAATCTCCAATTTGTCACTACCAGTTATTACAATATCATCCACATAGACCACTAATAAAATCTTTTTGGATTCTGAATCATAGTTGGAACACTTAGAGGTCAACTTGACATTGTTTCATTTCAAAATTCTTCATTACTTTACTAAACTTCCCAAACCAAGCACGAGGCGATTGTTTCAACCCATAAATTGCCTTTTTCAGTCTGTACACCTTACCATCCTCCCCCTAAGCAACAAACCAAGGTGGTTGCTCCATATATACCTCTTCCATAAGGTCACCATGAAGGAAGGCATTTTAAATGTCAAGTTGAAACAAGGGCCAATTATACGTAATTGCTAGGGAAATAAAGACACGGACGGAGCCAATCTTAGCCACTGGAGAGGTCTCTATATAGTCCACTCCATACAACTGTGAATAACCTTTAGCAACAAGTCTGGCCTTCAAACACTCCACACTACCATTTGGCAAGTATTTAACAATATACACCCATTTACAATCCACTACATGCTTACCGGGAGGAAGAGTAGTGAACTCCCACATTTAAGTTTACTGAAGGAGAGAGAGTTCCTCCTCCATTGCCTGATGCCACCCAGGTGAGGTAATAGCCTCCTGGACATTCTTAGGTATAGAAATAGATGGCAATAGTGAAACAAACTAGTGATGTGAAGCGGAAAGGCGGGAGATTGAAACAAAATTAGAAATGGGATAGAGGGTACAACTACGTTTACCTTTTCGTAAAGCAATGGGAAGATCAAGTCCTGAAGGTTTTGGGGCAGGAGCAACAACAGGATCTGTAGACAAGGTAGAAGTTAGAGGAGGAGCCAGTGTTTGACGATGAGTATACACATGCTAGATCGGTGGTCGTTTAGTAGGAATCTGCACTGGAGTAGGTGAAAGGTCAGCCCCAACTGGAACAACTAGAACGGGATCACAAACTGGAAGAGGAAGAGGAAGCAAGGGTGGAGATATCGATACTTCAGGTCCTGAGAAGAGGGGGACAGACTCAAAAAAGGTGACATCAGGACAGACATAGAACTTCCGAGTAATGGGATTGTAACACTTATACCCTTTATAGGATCTGTAGACAAGGTAGAAGTTAGAGGAGGAGCCAGTGTTTGACGATGAGTATACACATGCTAGATCGGTGGTCGTTTAGTAGGAATCTGCACTGGAGGTCCTGAGAAGAGGGGGACAGACTCAAAAAAGGTGACATCAGGACAGACATAGAACTTCCGAGTAATGGGATTGTAACACTTATACCCTTTATGGGTCCAAGAGTAGCCAAGAAAGACACTTAATAGAGTGTGCATCCAACTTGTCTATCCAAGGACTCAAATTGTGAACAAAGCACATATAGCCAAAGACCTGGGGTGTTAATGGAAAGGGAGACAAGGTGGGGAACAAAATAGAAAAGGGAGACCAACCATGAAGGATGAAGGAGGGCATCCGATTAATAAGGAAACAAGCAGTAAGCACAACATCACTCCAAAATCATTTAGGAACACTCATATGATGAAGAATAGACCGAGCAGTTTCAAGGAGACTGTTGAGTGGATGCACATGAAGTTTGATGAATGATGCCATGTTGTTCTAAATATTGTTGAAAGGAAGTAAGAAAGTATTCACGACCGTTATCTAAACGAAGAACTTTGGTTGGAACACTAAATTGTATACGTATTTCAACATGGAATTTTTGAAAAATGGAAAATAATTCACTTCTTTCTTTCATTAAATAAATCCATGTCATCCTTGAACAATCATTAATAAAAGTGACAAAATACTTTTAACCATTATAAGACTATTTTAATCGGACCCCAAACATCTGAATGAACCAAAGCAAAAGGACTCAACATACAACTATCAACTCTAGGACTGACCCATACTGACACAACTCACACTGTAAAGACGACAAATGACTCGAAGATCAGTGTGCCGTTAACCTGTTCTCCTTGCCTGACTACTCAGACATTGACTCAATTATGTTTTACAAAGGAAGGTTAATACTTCCACCCCACGAGGGAAGACATTTCTATGGATTTTATCACCAAGCTCCCACCTTTCAGTGGCAAGTTTGTCATTCTGGGTATTGTAAATAGACTTAACAAATATGGCTACTTTTTACTACTATCTCATCCCTACAGTGCAACTCAAGTGGCTGATGTGTTTGCCCCAAATGTTTACTAACTCCATGGTACCCCAAGGACTATGGTCATCAGTCATGACCCTACATTTATGAACTGGTTCTAGGATGCATTTTTTCACTTACAGAGTCTCAACTCCACAAGTCAACAAGTTATCATCCTCAGTTTGATGACCAAGCTGAAGTGACAAATCACTGTATTGAAGCTTATCTTTGATGCTTTGCTGGAGAGAAGCCTTAGTGGTGGTGAAATGGCTACCATGGGCTAGCCTATGGTACAATGCTTCCTTTGGGTTTTGTATGTCTGCAACCTGCTATCAATACTTACCTACAAGAAGGGATCCATTGCTGTTGCATCAGTGTATGGACACTTGACTCGTACAGATGTGATACTTTTTTTTTTATCAGTCTTAGAAATGAGATACTGATCTATTTTGAGCCCAACAATTGATGAAGTTCAGAAACATCGGTGAATAGATTTCCAGTTGGCTGATTATGTCTGCCTGAACCCTGCAAGCTCATGGGCTTTAAGATGGGTTAAATAAGTAAAGAAGATTATACAAGAAGCACTGGTAGAATGGACTAACCTCCCTCCTGAAGATGCCACTCAGGTGTACCGAGTTGTTGCAGAACCAGCTCCCTCTCCTCAACATTGAGGGTAAGGTTGAACTGAAGGAGGGGAGAGATATTAGGGCCCAACATGGCCCCAACTCCCAGTTTGCAGCCCACACCTGAGGATCCACAACATATTGGGCCTTCTGAGAGATTGAAGACCATGACCGTGCATCAAGGGGGTCTGTCAGAGCAACCATGAGAATGAGATGTTTGTTATTTCTATAGTTTGAGCCCATGCCATCATACTTGGTTACTAAATCATGTGTATCTTGAGTAATCATTACTTAGTTACTAAAGCTTTTGCCGGACATGCCAATCAGTTGGGATGATGTATGGCTATATAACATGAAAACACTTGGTAAAAGAGAACAAAGCATGAGTCCCCTTCACTAATCTCTCTCTCTCTCTGTGTAGGACACTAAACTCCCTTGAAGTAGCCTGTGTTGGGCAGAAACCCAACAATCTGGCACCAGATGGCATAGGATAGTGAAACAAGTTTTGTGTAGATGACCTCGTATAGTTTGGGGCAAGGCTTACATCTGATCGGACTCTGATTGTTATTGTTTCAGATGTTAGATCGGGTATCGGATTTTCTTTCTGTCGACAGCCTTCCTAAGAAGTGCTCAAAACCCTTGAGATGATTGGAAATTTACCTTGCTTTCCTATTTTATCTCAGTCAAGTTTTGAAAATGTATTTCCTTTAAAAATTATTAATTTTGAGATTAACTAGATACCTTTGCCACATAGACTGCTGCAAACAGGTAACTTGGGAAGAGTTTTTGAGGACTTACTTTCCAACTTAAAGATGCTTGTCCACATATTAGTTTTTCCTCTTCATTTGACACTTCACTGGATCCTGCACTTTGTTGAGAGGGAGTCATGATATATTTAAGTTGTGTTTGGTACCATTGCCATTTCTTCTAGAAACGTTTGGTTGATCAAATACAAATTGGTGAGAAAAATGTGCTCTCACTTCACAGAAGAGTCATTTACTAAGAAATTCATGTGGGGGAGTGGGGGACTAGTCATTTCTGTTTAGAGTTGAAGCCTCAATTTGTTGTTTTACCACTAAACAGCAATGACATGCATTTTTTTAGTTGAAGTCTCTTATGTTGATGTTACAAGAAATGTCTCACCAATTTGTATTGATCAACCCCTAATGTGTCAAGAAGAAATGACAATGGTCTGCTTCAACTTCAAAGTCTTATTTATCAAAAAACAAAAGAAGAAACGACAATGGTATCAAACACAACCTTAATCATACCCAGGTCTATGGTTTCTAAAATTACAAGACTGTTCTTGAAGCCGTTGGTTTTATGCAATGCAATTGTGTATTTTATTCTATTTTTTCTCTTTTCCCGTTTTCTGTGTTTTTTTTGATAGAATATAAGAGAGACAGAAAATTGAGGGAAAGTCGAGGAATTTCACAAAAATCCTTGAGAACTTACCCTCAACATTCTATTTCTCTTGTTTTCTATCAAAGCAAACGTAGCCTTTTGGTGGGGGGGAGGTGGAAGAACTACTTGAATACCCTATTAGTGAAGGGATTTTACCCCTAGAACAATCCCCAAGGTTGATAGCAACTTGAATTTGCCTGAGGCAAAGATGGTGTACTATATAAAACTTTACTGCCAAAACCAATAAATAGAATATCTGGATAAAATAGTTCACATCTAGTTGTACTTTCTTACCTTGACATTTGGTTGTTTGCCTTTGCTGCAGGGTGGCATGAGGGTGGCATCGAAGAGTGCTGGAGTATTGCTTGCAAACTTGCTAACATTCAAGGACACGGTTCATCCTCTGGATGGTTTGTGGGCATTGTCAGGACTTGGCCACAACTACAATATTGATGCTCAAGCCATTAAGAATGCTGCAGTGTTGCATTACAATGGAAACATGAAACCATGGCTTGAGCTGGGCATTCCAAAGCATAAAAAACACTGGAAGAAGTTTCTGAAGCAAGACGATCAGTTTATGGGTGAGTGCAACGTTAATCCATAGCTGGCCAGCCTATAGTCCCTAGTGATGAGATGTCAGCAGCTTAAAATCCTCGATATTTGAGGGCTTAGCAGGAGGGGTGCTGAGCTTTTTAGATATATTTCCAGTGCAAAGAGAGATTTTAATTGCTAGGGTGGCAAAGCTAGCTTGTGCTGAAGGAATTATCACCATTATCAAAATCGACAATGGGGATACCAGTTGAAGAGAATTGTCACTATCATTACAGCGGGGACGGCTGTTTTCTTGGTAAGTTCTTAGAATGAAAACGATTTTATCTGCAATTGTGGCTAAAAGCAGAAAGTACGGTGAAAGAGTGTTGATGTTAAGTTAAAAAAGGTTCCTAGATGAGGTTTTCTGTGCAATGTGTGATCATCTAGAGATAAAAGAGAGTTTAGATGTGTTGCCTAGTTTGGAAAATATTGTACAAGAGGTGGGAGAGTACGAGTCGCAACAAATGCATTTGTACATGGGAGGTGGTTGGGTGCAAACTTGTTACAAAGGCATTCAATTGCTGATATTCATGTGATACTAGTGATTGTTGGTTCAAAGCCCCGAAATGGGTTACTGCTATTCAATTTCAAATACATGCAAATTTGTTTAATCCTGTGAGTTTAATCCTTCGACAGAATTGCTATAAGCCAGTTTCTGTCTACTCTAAATGGATTTCGATTCATGATGGAACGAAATGGTAAATGGACATTAACATTTTAGAAACTTGTATACTCGAAATTAATGTTTTCAACTCGTCGTTGACCCGGTTAGTGGGACCGTTCAAATCATCACCCAATCCGGATTTTGGGTCTGGCTCAGTCAAGACTAGTCAAAAACCATTGATTTGGTCAAGAACTGTTCTACCTGAATGGTTTGAGAATTGACCCATTTGACCTTGTGATCGGGTTGCGGGTTGCATACTGAATGCATACAAACTTTTAGAGTACATAACTTTGTACATCGATATCTGATTGGGGTAGTTTTTTTTTTTTTGATTTTGGATAACTTTGCACTCTGATGACTTGTCCCACTATTTAAAAAAAAAAAACCTTTTTTATGGTATCAAATTGTAATTTCTAATGTTTTTATAAATAAAAAAAATTGAAATTAAATGAAAAAGGGAAAATTCCCAATCAGTATCTTGTACTTTGGCTTCAGTGACAATTTGGTCCCCAAACTTTAAAATGTGACAATTCAGTGCCCAAACTTTCAAAGTGTGACAATCCACTACTTGAACTTTCAAAATGTGACAATCCAATATCTATCGTTAACCAGTTCGTTAATCAGCTGTTAAGTGACATTTAAAAAGTCAAAAATGCCCTCCGAATGCCATCTAATTCTCTTTATCAACCATCCAAGCGTTGACAAAAAACTAAACAATACCAAATCCTATCCTCTTCTATTCAGAAAACATGGTGATTGTTTAGAAGAATCTAGAATTTGGAATTGTTCATTTTATTGTCAATGTTTAGATGGTTGACAAAGAGGATTAAATGGCATTCTTAGGGCATTTTTGACTTTTCAATTGTCACTTAACAACTAATTAACGGACTGGTTAACAAGTACAGGATTGTCACATTATGAAAGTTTAGGTACTGGATTGTTACATTTTGAAAGTTCGGGTACTGAATTGTTGCATTTCAAAGTTCAAGGATAAAAAATTGTCACTCAAGCCAAAGTACAAGGTTAAGGAATTTTTCCAATTAAAAAACATAAATTAAATATAAAATAATATATATAACATATCTAAAACATATTGCTAAAACACACACACACACATATATAGACATGTTACGGTCTGAACTATTTGACCCGACCAGTCAAACCGGTGATTTGTGACTCGAAGGTAAAAACGGTTTCACCTATGGGTCGGTTTTTAAAACGTTGCTCGATTATCTCGCAAGGTGTTACAATTTCTAACAGTAGGATGATTTGTTAAGTTGGATTTAGAGATGGCAATTTCATGGGAATTCTTGTACCTGAGTATAAACCTGGCTACGATATATATATATTGTTAGACAGTGTATGCCCTTAGCTCCAATTAGCATGATGTACATTTTGACATTTATTGTAAATGAATAGAGTATTCATGTTATTATGGTGTGTTTCTGTGTAATACCCTTAAACTTGACACATATGAGACTAGTGTTAGATTAGAATCTTCACAGTCGTTGAATAGATCTGGGGAGATTTATCCTGCCAAGGCTGACACTGATGTACCGCTAAGTTGGTTGGGGTGGCTTGTCTCAGCTGCAATGGTGAGACCTAAGGTACATACAGTGTGGATTTTCTTGAAACCCTGAACCGAACAAGAATTCCAGTATTACCTTGGACCTTGGAGATAGATGGGCAAAACTGGAATGTTACACCTGACTCCTAAACTCGATTATGATACTGCACTAGGTGTTGGATTGGGCTGTCTTTGATATGCCAACCAGTGAGATCCTTAGAGAGGGTCAAAACCTGGGTATGTTGGGACAGTCTGAGAATTCATCTAAGTGGGTGATCATAGTGACAAGATCATCCCCTTTGTCGAACAAAGTGAATGATCGGAGATGCACTCTCTCTGATGGAAACCTAAACTGCCGACAGTCGATTACAATCGTTGAAATTTGTTTTGCAAAATATATTTATATAGAGATATACATATATATATATATATATATATATATATATATATTATGGTTTCAAAATGTTTGCAAATGGTTTTAATTCTTAGGATCCATATGAGTAGAGAGTACAACAGTGAATTCGGCCAGGCCTTTTCTTCCTGCTCTTGCCGCCCCACCCTATTTGATCTCCAGTTCTTGGATTCGATCATAATTGGATCTTGATATTGTTTCTTGCGAGAAGAATCAATCTAGAAGCCCTGTTCACTGTTCTATTCGATTCTTGCTGAAAAATCTCTAGTTCTTGGTGAAGAACTACCTACTGATCCTGCCTCACCCTAAGTTGTATCATATTCAGTGGAGGGAGGATTTGGTACTCCCTTTGGGCGTGAACACCTATGTTGCGAGGAGCATTTTTGCGTGGATTTCATATCAGGTATATCCCTCCCTTAATTTGGTTGCAAATTTGGTCTGGATTGGTTACAAGAACGAACCTTGAAAATGCAGTTTTCTAAATTGGGAATAGGATTCCCGAATGGGAGTAAACAAATTTTTGAAATTTCGCCCAACCTTCCTACAGGGTTCGACCATCCATATGATGGATCTCCCATACCCGATTTGCGCAGTTAGCGCTTTTTTTGGGAATTAGTTCCCAGATTATGGGTAGATGATATGGAAAATAAATCTTTATTATTTTCTGAAATTTATAGAATTGTTTTGTAATTTTTTCTTGAATTTTTGGGTTGCACATGTGATAGAGATCGAATCTTTGTGGTGCCAAGGTTGGCACACCTTGTGATTTCTATTCAATTCAATTTTGGTCTATAAATATTTTTTTTAATTTTAGATAAATTGTATAGGGATTTGATGTGATGTAATAATAGAAAAATTAGGTTTTTCTATAATATTTCCATCTGGAGATTGCTAGAACGCACAACAGAGGAGAAAAATTTTTCGCAAAAACAAGTTCTGCAATCTACGATTTTGCAGATATCGATTCTGCAATCTGCAATTAACTATTCTTTACAAGTTTGCAAGATATCCAAGAAAATCACAATGCAACCCTCTGATATTATTTTCTTAATAATTTGATTATCTTGAATTGATTTATTTTCAAATCATTATTCTTGAATTAAATCTTGAACTGGACACCAAAACTTGGGTTGATTTACACCAGATTTTGGTCCAAACTGGTTGGATCAAATTGTTGGTTCGATGGGGTTTGTTTTTCTAACCCTAATTCGATTTAGGCTAGAGAGTTGATGGCTCACTTCAACCTTTAATTCGGCCCACCTCTCTAAAAACCTACTTTCAATATGATAATGAATAAATCAGCCCTAAATTAGCTATAAGGACCGAACTGCCTTTTGTAATACAACCCATGTACGTAGATTATGTTATATGAGAACATTATGGGCCCTATTGGGCTGGTACCGATTTAATCTAATTAATTAAGGTTTTTACAGATATTCTAATTGATTGGATCAATTTATTTCATGCATRTGATGTATGRATGTGTGATGTKCTACSTAMATGGACCATAAGTACTTGGCCCATGATTATTTCGATAGTGGCTCTTTCGCACACCATGACTGAATGCACATCATTGCCATGGTGTCCATAAGATCATTGGCTGATCTTCCTGTTTGGTGGGACCCACATCAGTTTCCTCCCCAAAAGGAACCGTGCGGAACCCTAGCTGTTAAGGGCCCATTTGAATCGGGCTTTGAGAAAGTCAGTAGGAGCCACTTTGGTTTGACCTAAATAAACTAGGGCGTAATATTTAGTTCCCTCCACTAAAATATGAGTGCATGTGATAGGGAAATTCATATGATGAACTCTCTAAAGGCCTTCCATCATTAAAATGAAGATGGGTCCTTCAGTAATGAGGAAATGCACCATAAAATTGGGTTATCCATTTGCTGTTGGATCTGTTGGATTGTTTCATAAGATGATAAGGGCATCATAGACCGATGGGGGAGGGGCCTATCCTAAAATGGAAAACTCTCTCACGGTACTTTGGCGTTCACGAATATGATGAGTAAGCACTCACTGTACAAAAAGTTTTAGCCTAAAATGGCAATGAACCTTGTTTGACAGAGGCCAAAGGGAAAGCTCATTAGATGAGTGGATGTGATCCTTCACAGAAGGTGGTGGGGTTTCCCACCACCTTATGTGGTTTCCCACATTTCTAGAGACATAGTTCGCACTCTCCATCACTGAGATAGGAGGGAAATCTCAGAGATGAACAAATGGAAATGGAACATAGATGAAAAGCCATATCTATGTGGATAACATGAATCAAATCAGGTTGTGGACTAATATTTTCTTTGCCTTTTATCAGAAATGGCAAACAGACAATTTGCCAAACTGTTGGACGACAATAAGCTTAAGGACCCAAATTATGCTGATTAGTATCGTAACCTTGTTTTGGTCTTGACATCCAAGAAATTGGACAATGTTGCTAAGAACCCTGCTCTGGATCATCCGGGTGATAGGGCTTTAGAGGCCTGTAGGAGGGAGTGTCAAGAATGGGAGGAGAAAAACTCTTTTGCCCGGTGCTATATCATAGCCTCCTTAGACAATCAGAAACAACGACAATTCGATCAAATCAAACTGTCCAAAGATATCTTGGATAGTCTAAGGACAATGTATGATGAGCATAATCGTTCTACTCGTGAGAAGGTCCTAAAATAGTTTATGACCGAACAAATGTCCAAGAACCAGCTAGTTCATGACCATTGTCTTAAGATGATGGGGTACATCAATGAACTGGAGGCTCTTGGATCTGGGCTAGATCATGTCACCATAGTTGATGCCATGCTGAACTCTTTGCCTCCTTCCTTCAATCAGTTCATCATGAATTATAATATGAACAAGTTAAATGTTAGCATCCAAGAACTCAGTAATATGTTATAGAGGGCCGATGAACTAATAAAGAAGGATGTGCCCATCGCCATGCTTGTTGAAGGTGGAAAATCGGGCAAGAAGAAGAGAAGGC